AGTTTGCTTCTCAATTGTTTACTCAATTTTATCGTAATCCTATTTTTAGAAATGACAATTTATTTCCCATTTCTTTAGTCTAGACAAACTTGTACGCTAATTGTCACGTCGTTCAAAATTCAATCATGTCAACTTTATGTTCAAAATATTAATAAATATTTACTCAAATGTCATTGTAGTTGTATTAAAACTTTTGAACTTGGAGATTTTTTAAACAAAAGATAAAGTTCATAAGCATATTTTTGTAACTTGACCTATATTTTATATGGTAGGGGCGTTATCTTTCAATCAAATTTTAAATTTTCACATCACTATAGCTTTATAATTTTATTTTTTCCTCAACTAAACTATTTAATTGAGATAAATTGATACAATAAAAATCAAAATTAAAAATTTTAGATGAAATTGAAATTTTTAGTGATATTAGTGATGAAATGTATATATATATATAGAGTTAAAAGAAGAGTAACCTGCGTGAAATTATTGGATGTAATTCTCTCCCCATTGTCATCAAGAACTCGATAACATGGAACTCGTTTCTGAGTCGACTCAGCAATAAAACTCATTTCACTCGTAAATGAAACTCTCCCTCCTGGAAAATCCAACTCCTACCATAACAAATGACTCATTATCATCAATGAAGAAAAAAATGTCTTTTTGTAAATATAATATTTTAATTTTAAAATTTACAAGTAAAAATTAGAAGAAAATTATGAAATCTTAAATTGAAGGTAATTGTCTTGTCTCGTCTTCTTCCTTCTTCGCTCGGCCCTTATTTATGGTCATGAAATTTCATTTTCTAAAATCCTCTCTTCATATGTGTTTATGTGTCATGTATGTATGTATATATTTTTTGGAACCATGATGTGTTGTATAGTTTTGCCAACATAGGTTAAAATATCATTATTGTCCTCTCTATGGGTCATGGGTCATGGGCCCCACATTGTAACCAATTTCTAGAGAACAAATTTTCAGAATAATTCTTAAATTAGTAAACCCACAGCTCCTATTTTTTATTTCTGGAAGTTTTATTCTGATTTTAAATAAAGTTTCCAGAAAAAAAAAAAGTAAATTAGAAAATAAACAAAGTGATTCACTTAAAAAAATATATATCAAATGGAATTATAGTTTTTAAAAATTCATTTATTGTTTTTAACTTTGGCTGAGAATTGAAAAGTACTATCTCTGAAACTATGAAATAAAAAGAAGTAAATGAGTTTAGATTTAAAAACAAAAGGAAACTAGAAGTGAAAATTCTTTCCAAGCATGGCTTTCTTTTTATGTTTCTTATATTTTAAAAAAGCTTTGATAGCGTGCTCAAATTAAAATAATTTATCTTTTTTTTTTCTAACATGTTTTTTCTCTCAACTTTACTCTCTTTTTCAAAAATTTTATCTTTTTCTCTTTAATTTTTTCCCTAAAATTTATCTTTTATCTCCCTAAATTTACTTTTTATGTCTCGACATTAAGTAAGACAAAAATATCCCTCCCAATTCCATTTGTTAAATAATAAATATATATTTTATTAACTATTTTAATAAATTAATTTATCAAAAAAACCTATTTTAATAAATTAAAAATAAAATATTAAATAATTTTTTAATAATTATTTTTACGAGTAAATAATAATTCATATATATTATTACTACTCTTTTTATTTTTTAAATTCTAAAAATAATTAGAATTAATTATTAAATCGGTATTTTTCCTGCCAAGATCATCTGGGATCCTTTACCTACACCTTCATTTTCGAAAATTAGAGAATGAGATGGACAGAAACTAAAATTTTCCAGGAGGACAAAGAATGGAAGGGCATGACCGACTCCCGCCACATTTTATTTGTGTATCCTACATGGATTTTTTTCTCTATTATTCTTCTAACTTTTTAAAAACATAAAATAAAAAATTGTTATCGGTTACAAAAAAATAATTATCAAACATATATAATTTTTCTTTTAAAAATCAAAAACCAAAAATAGAAAATAAATATCACAAATAAAAAACATAAATCAGGGGGCAAATTGGCATCATTTCTATTTTTATTTTTAGAAACAAAAACTATATTTATCTAGTCACTGTTTTTTATATTTGTTTTTTGAAAAATAAAAACCAACTATTTTTTATTTTTGTTTTCTGACAAATGAGGGAGAGAGTTGTACAAGAGATAAGAATTGTAGGCTGGTAAATAAAAGTTAGAGAAATGGAGAAGTTTTAAGTCAGAGAAAGGTAATTAGAGACCTATTAAAAATATAATAATATATAGATGGGGGAGAGAAATAAAAATTTCGAGAAATGGAGGTGTTTTTTAGAAATAAAAAAACTAGAGAATGAGGGATAATATTTTAGTTTTTTAAAAAAATTATAAAAAGAAAATCGTGTTAGATTTTTTTTTTATTATTTAAAAAGCAGTTGTTTTATCGAGGATGAGAACAAAATTTAGAAAGAAAAATAAATTAGTGGGATATATTCATTCTAAAAGAAAAGTTGTCTAGAAATGGATAAGTTTTATAATAAAAAATGAAAGTTAAATGTGTCCTAAGAGAGAGAAAATTAGATTGAGAAAAAGGAAAGTTGGAGCGAGAAAATTTTTAGAGGACGAGGAGAAGTTATACACGACAAATATTTAAAAAGATAAATATTAAAACTTTAGAGGAAAAGAAAAAAAAATGTAAGATACATAGAAGAGAGATAAATAGAAATGAGATGATAATTTTAAATATTTTAAAATAATATTGAGGTAACATTATTTTATTCTAAATATTGAATAGGAGGTAGAAAAATAGAAAAAAAAAACTTTCCATAAAATTTGCATGTGTAGGAAAAATATTATGTATATATAAATAATATATTTCATATTTTGTGGTGTTATTTGATTTATTGTGACAAAAGATTAACTATAACATTATAGAAATGTSGATTTATTCCCAATAATTTGATAAGTACTAAAATGTATATTTATTTTTTTAAGAAAGAAATAAAATCACATGCATCATAAGAATTGGAAAAAGGAAAAAAGAAAAGTAAAATGAAGTTATGAATTGCGATAGACATGTAGGAAACCAACCTGAGGATGATCATCATTACGACAGTAGAGGTGGTCCARWTGTTTTGCAGCAGCTTCTGTGGATTCAAAACGACGTGTCGTCCTCCTCCATTTATAATAATCCAGCAGCCTACTCCGCCGGCCACAGCCGCACAGACCCGCCGGATCGGAAATTAGCGGCGGAGCGCGTAGGAAGGAGATCCGAGACGACGACGATCGCGCGAACCGAAAAATCATATTGGCGAGATCCGGAATCGGAAAAATGAAAAGGAATTTCGGAAGAAGGTTCTGGCAAAAAATTAAATTCCAGAGAGAGAAATAATTGGAGAATTAGRAGTTGAAGACTGTGAATGTGAATATAATGGAGAGAGAGAGAGATTTGATTTGGTGGGTTTCTTTGATCCTTATCTGTGGTGGGTACTAATATTTAAGGCTGCAACGGTTAAGGCGTCTGCTTCTACCGTACACCAATTCTTTTCAACGTGGAACTCTTTAATTTCATTCTGTACCTATCCTGGTTATTTTCAAAATGTCTATTTTAATTCTTTTTCGAAACCTCTCCATTTAAATAAGGAAAATCATACCCAATCTCTCAATTTTTAGATTTTTAAGTTTGTCTTGCCACTTTTATTTCAATAGAGTTAAAAGTACTATTTTCGTTCCTATACTGCTTTCAACCTTCAACTTATTTGGGTGAAAAATGTTTCTTTTTAGTTTTAATTTAGGATGTTCATTTTCCTCGAGAAGAGAATCATTTGTTTAGATCACCAACAAATGTGGAAAATGCATTCTTCGTCTTCATTCTCTATTTCTCATCCTACTACAATTTTTTTTTAAATATATATTTATATATACTAAATGCAAATATACAAAATTTCTCCATTACTTGAACGAAGACGGGATGTGTGTGTGAAAGGATTAAACTATGTAAATTAAGTTTTTCTAAAACGTCTAAAACTTAAAAAGGAAAAGTACATCAATCTCCCAATTTATAGATTTTTAATTGTCCTCCCAACCTCATTTCAATAGGTGTTAAAATACTATTTTAGTCACTCTACTTTCAAATTATTTTGGTGCTGTATTTTTCAACTTTAGTTGATTTTAGTTCTTATACTTTTAAATGTTCTTTTTTTTCCCTAATTTATTTTTTTTAAAACCGATCATTTTGGTCTCTATTTTACTATTTACAAAATTTTTTATACAAATTCTACCTATAATAGAAGTCTTTTAATATAAAATCATGGTTAAAATTCAAGAAATATATCGAATGTAGTATTGGCGTGTCCAAATTGTGAAAAAAATGAGATTAAAAATAAAATTAAGGACCAAAATTGTCACTTTTTAAAATTTCCTTTCACACGTGCACCACACCTTATATCTCCAATTTCTTTACTTATATATTGAAATTAATATTAATGGTGAACTTATCCATCTTTATTGAATAATAAAATTTTTGTAAGAATTAAATTAATGAATTCTCACGTATAATTTTTAGAACAAAAATAACAACAAATATTTTATAATATATATATATATATATATTTATTTATTTATTTAATCACAATCATATAAGTAGGAGGAGAATGCACAAATTCTTTTGTCGAAAAAAGTTGTAACGGAGAGGTGTTTTTACCGTTGTAAAAGTTGGAGAAGGTTGCATTAATTATTATCTTCTAAAATTTATAAATTTTTTTATTAATTATAATTAAAGATAATTATTAATTTTTATTATACATCACACAAAATAAAAATATCATAATATTATTAATATAAAATAGAAAAACAATAAAGTTAAAAGATTATTAGACAAATTGAAAATATTATACCTCTTCATCAACTTAATCTTGATGGTTTGTATATATCTCCATTGTTCTTCTTCAAATTACCATAACTTTGACAATTCATTTTATCTGAAATTACTCGAAATTCATTAGAGATATAATCTTCTAAAAACACGATGACACAATTGAAAATAGAAAAAACAAAGATGAAATTTGAAAGTAGAATTGAAAAGAAAATGATGAATGATATGGCTCCAATCTAAAAAATGACACTGACACATCTAGAACTATCTATATATACAGTAAAACGTGAGAAAATGAAAAGCGGATATATTTAGAAATTTGAAAAGGATGAAAAGTCAAGTAATAAAAATTTTCTTTTAATTTAATCTTAATAAGCCATTATTATTTAGTAATTAAAGTTGGGTGTGAGTTAGGGGCAGTGTTAAAGGATATTTAGGTGGAGGTTAATTATAAGGATGTTGAAAGATTTTTTTTTTTTTCTCTTTTGTGAGTGCCATGTATATTTGGAAGTGGTGGATGAGATTTATTAATCCTTTTTAATTAATAAAAAGGATAGTTTAGATATTATAAAAAATTCAAAAGTTAAATTTGTCTAAAAAATATTTCTTGTGTCACCTTACTTTTTAATATATATAGATATAGATATAGATATATAGGACCAAAACAAACACTTTAAAAGTTATACAGAATCGTTTAGGTACAAGATTATAATGGATGAAAATCGATAAAAGATTTTTAATATCGTTCTTTGGTACAAGATTTATTGAGCTGGACATGTGTATAATATATTCTTAGGCATCCCTTTTACCCATAAATAAGGTAATTAATTCTATGCCTCTTACAAAACCATGGATTTTATCTTTGTACATTATTTTTTTTATTTCATTCCTTTTTATTTCAAATGTATATATAATTTCACTAAATAATTACTTAATGATAATAAATAATTATTATTATTAAATAATTAGTTAATTATAATGAATTAATAAATATATACTTAATTAATTTTACTGATAAAAATTTACTAAATGTTAATTAATTTGAATTAATGACATTCAGTATAAAAAATTATTTTTCAATAATTATATTTAATTATTTATTGATTATTTATAATTAATATATTTATATATATTTCTTGATATTAATTAATCAATCCTTTGATATATCATAATTATAAAGAATTTTAGGATTAATTTCATAAATAATGACCATCATTTACTCTTGTAAAGTTTGATAGCATCCTGTCATAGCCTTTATCATTTATTCTTTAATTGTATTATGTACTAATTAATTACAAAGTTATATTATTTTATTAAATGCATTTTTTTTTTTAATTTGACTTAATGAAAATAAGTTAACTTACAAAAATTAATTATTTAAAATTAACTAAGGTAAATTAATGGTTAGAAGTTAGTTTTGATTAATTTTAATGTTTATTAATAATTTATTTTCATGAAATTCTGAGAATTTTATCACATACAACCAAATTCAGTTATCTTTTATTTCCAAACATTTTATTCCTTCTCATCCTTCAAAGACTACGAGTGTAATAAGAGCATCCATCCATAAATGATCACTTTATGACGATGATCACATGACTATTGAAAATGAATCAAACCAAATGGTTCAATTTCTCAATCTTTCTTATTTACTCCTACAAAACCAAGATATATATTGAGAAAAATCGATCATTCACAACCGCTGATGAAGAATTCCTCGAAAAGTTAAGGATTAGTAATCAATTTTAGAAATCGAATTGATTTGGTCTTACACATATACAAGGAAGGTAATCAAAAAAAGAAAGAATATGAGTTTTTATTTCTTTTATCACTTAGCTCAAGAGTCGTGCAAGATGAAAATTTCATACATAGTTTTGGATATTAAGGCTCTAATACCATATAAAAAATCATGTGGTTTTATCTCAAAATCAATTGACAATGAGATGTGTAGTCTGTATATCTTATAAATTTTGTTAGATCTCTTATCTTTTCTATGTGAGATCCTAACACTTTTGAACCAGAAACAATTTCTATGTCTTGATTTATTAAAAAACAAAAAATAAAAAACGAGAGTATTATCAAACGAGCCCTCCCATCATTCTTCCCTCACTAATTTTTTGTCCACCCCTACATTTTTTAGTTTCGGGCATGCTATCGCTAGATATTTGGCTAAAAGAATATTTTTAAATTGTTCATTAAATTTTTTGGTCAAAATATATATCTTTTTATGGAATTAAAGATCTAAAGATATCCACAATAGACTCTTTAATTACCTTGAGTAAACTCAACGGAACCCCTGCCTAAGAGTGGAAAGTGGGGTTTTTTTTCCTTTCTCTAATCAAAAATGGGAAGTGGGGTTGAAACTTAATAAAGTAAAATAGTAATTTCAATTTTTAATATAATTAAATTTAAAATTATCTTAGAATATATCTTATCTTAAAGGTGAGAGATTTAAATGTTGTATTTAATATGTAAATTTTGGAGTTAGATTCGTCTTCTATCATCTTATCTTTAGTTTGATATCTATTTTGATAATATTTCTATTTTTTTGTTTGTTGTTTCTAATTTTTTTAAATATTTTGTAACTAACTATGTCTTTTGTTTCCTTTGATTTGGAAACATTCTGTATAAAAATTTAAAAACCAACTAAAAACAAGTTTGTTCTGATCTCTAATTTGTTCCAAAAGATAAATAAAATGATTGTTTTTATCATACTTGAATTTACAGATGGTGAGGCCATGCAATTCATTTTTTCTTATTAAAAATGAAGAAACAAAAACAGAAACGTTACCAGACGAGCATTTAATTTCTTCCTCTCTTTTTTCTCAAGTACAATTGAGGTTCCTTTCACCATCTTTATTAATTTTAAGGTTAAATATATTTTTTAATCTCTATTATTTAAATAGTTTTAATTTAGCCTCTCACATTTTAACATTTTTTTAATTATACCTTTTCTATTTATCAATATTAAAATTGGTCTATGATAATTTTATATGATGTGATGCTTGGTGAGTTGAAAATTTAGGAGAGAAATTAGACCATTAAAGAGAGATAATAAGTTTCTAAAACATTTTCAAAATTTCTATGAAATTGACATAAATTTCAACTTTCATTCTCTTAGAAAACCAAATTGAAACTAAACCCAAATCATATGGATAATTTGATAAGTTGATTTTGTAACATTAATAGTTGATTTTTTTTATAATAATAATAAACCTAACTTATTATGAGAGATAGTTTAGAGGTTCTTTAATAGTAATAATTCGTTTTTTAGGACCACAAATGTTTAATATTAATAACTATCTTTGTAAAATTAATAACCGAATCCATTGGTAATTATTATAATAATTATGTTTAATATTAACATTGATATCATACAAAAAGTAACAATAAATTAAGTAATAATGAAAATTTTTGAAGGATAATTAATAAGATTTGATTATTTTTTTCTAAAGCATTTTCATTATCAGATTTTGATTTCCATAGAAACATTTAAATTCAATATTAAAAGGGTCAATCAAGTATAACTCGATAAATAAGACACCAATTAACTTTTTTGAAATTGATAATTTAGTCTTCCACTCCATGGAGTACACAGGAAGGAAAAGA